GACGTTGACGGCTGGACGAAGAGAGGAGCGGGGTGACCAACTGGGAAGGCACACGACGTAAACTGACCGACGGCTTGAGTCTACGCTGTGCCTGCGTCCATAGCAGCGTCTCGTATGTTTCTGCGCTCAGCGCGCTACGACTGCCGCGACTACCATAAAAGCGACCCTCAAAAGAGTCGCACGGAAGTCACATGATTTCACCAATTTACCTTATTTAGCAGAGAGCATGACTGTACTAATGCATCTGATATGTCTCCGTGCACAACTGTCCCCCACACCCGCGATACACAAGTCACTGTTTCTTTTTTCAGTATTCGGCCACATTTCACTCGAAACGTTCATTGACGATCTTTTTCACCATCGATGTTTACCACACAATGACAAGAACGGTGAACGTGCATTTCATGCTACCACCATCCAAAATAGCGTATCCGTGAGAAATTCCGCTTTTGGAACGACTATGAATCTGCAAGAAATTCTTTTATGACAAGTTATTTGCAGGATTGACGCGACCAACGCACGCATTGAGAAGTTCGTACGGGAGATCAACTTTAACGAACCCGTTGAAGAAAATGAAGAAAAGGCGAACACGAAAGATGTAAAGAAGGCTAAGGGAGCAAATGTACAGAAGGACAAAGCATCTGGAGTGAAGGCGAAGAAAAATGGTATAGAAATACCACGAAGAAGAAAGTTGTGAAGAAGATGAAAAACGCTGAAAAATTCTCAATTGAGTGCTAGTACAGAGAAATTTTTAAGCCTATTTCAGCTTTCCTGGCCGAGCCAATTAGGAACACTCCGAACGGTTTCTCGAGTTCCCCGAGAGGTAAATCCTTCAGGTGTACGAGGTGTGCAGGCCCGCAGGGATGGAAGTGCGCTTTACGTAACATCTAAAATCTAAAATGACTCTAGAGGCTTGTTATATATTTCTCTTATTTCTACACCCGCTTCAATACGCCCTACGCTCACCAGGCCAAGCCAAATGGTCGCTCGTGTGACTGCAAATAGGGGCCATGCGACAAAGATCAATCGTATGACTGGTCATGCGGCGTGTGGCGTGACTGCGGCGTGCGTACAGCGCATCCAGTGGCAGGCGGAGAAACAAGGAGCAACAAGCTTTCATGGTCTTCCAGCTTCATTGCTGCGCATTTACGAGTTCTAGAGCGGCGCCATCCCATTGCTATGGACCGGGGTAGTTAGTACTCTGAGGCGCGCCGATTACGATGAAAAAAGGTTGTGCAAATGGTGAGACATGCGGCTACAGCGCGTCAAGTCAACTAGCTAGGGAACTCCGCTAGGCCGTGCGCGGCGAAGCTGCTCGGACGTCCTGAACTACATCCTTGCGGGTCTGTTCACCTCAGAAAGAACGGACTTCCCGCTTAGCTTCGTTGTGTCTTGAAGACTATAATAATCCTAGTAATGCAGAAAAGTGTCATAAATTACAGTGCAATAAAAATTAAGTAGTGAAGTGTATTAGATTCTTATAAATGGTTTTCTGGAAAGGAAAGATAAGCGAAGAAGGGTATATTACGAGATGCATAAAATCAGTGTCAGTGCGACCCCTCTCACAAAGTACTACCAATGATCTACAAAAATTTCCCCAAAATTTTGCCGTCGAGAGTGGACACCTCCGACTACAGCTACTATCATAGGCATCCGCAATTTCGTCCTGCGGAACAGTCCAGGCATGAGGCATACAGTAGCGCGGCGAGCTAAAAATTTCACGGTGGAACATGACGGGCGAGTCAAAGTCTGTTACAACAGGTTGTGCTTTCACCGGCTCCCAACCGATATGATGCTGATTATGTTTTATCGAGTATTGTGAAGATAATCTGGCAACACAAATAACCTCTTATCATCTCGCTTAAAAATACTGTCAGGGTATACCTGTCAGTTAGCTCAGTTGTAGCTCTAGCAGCTTATCCATTCTCTATCTATTTTAGTTGGTTAAGTGAGCGACCTAGTCGACATGCATTTCGACTTGCCGTTCAGTTCGGCCGCCAGTTGGTAAGTATGGTACATAAGGTGCATAATCTGTAATGGTATAGTAATAAGTCTCATGTCGCAGGTACATCCTAATCTTTTGTTGGAGTGTGCTCCGCATGCACTCTCTTTCCATTCGAATCGTGAGCTGGCGTATTGAATGCTCATATGCGGCCCCTCGTACTTCCAATGTGGGGGGCCATGCGATTAACAAGTCCATGTTTTAGTTCTCCAGACGAATTGGTAAACCAATCACTCTCACGGCCCCGGAGGGCGTTAGAAGGCTTGGTCTCGCTGGGCGTCGGTGTCGACCTGGGATATACGACACCCTAGGACCCGCGCGATGTGTGTTAGCGGCGGGCCAGCTTGTCACTACTCACCACCTCCGCCGCATGGGACCCATACTCAATGAAAATCATGATATATGGGTCCCAATGATTGGGCAACAGTTAGTAGCAAAACAGATTTTGAGGGAACTTTCGAAGCTACAGTTTGCTATTCTTTTCGCACTTACCCTCACACAGCAACTATTACTATTGCGCGATCCCAGCGACCGAATAGCGAAGAACGAACACGCTTTTCAAGATGTTCTCCCTTTGCGCTAAATATCTATACACTTTAGACGGATGCCTTCAAATCGAAGCTGATTCTGAGGCTTTTCCCTGCTCGAGCACTTTTTAACCCTTGAAGTTTTCATCGTACCATAGAATGGTAGCCACAACCAACCAACAACAATAATTATGTAAATACTAGACAGTCTTTTAAAATTTCATTAGCAAATAGAAACTGACTAGATCGCAAGAAACCTTGAACGTCAATTTTATACAATGGTTAGTGTGAGTTGAAAGAGTATATGAACAAAATGCAGAAAATAACAACAAAACCAAAAAAAAACAAAATGTGAGATCGTGAGTAGTCAAGAGGTAGTGAGGAAAATCTTGTAAAGTATTGATGCAAAAAAGTACAAGTAAAGGTCACTGTAGGCTTTTAACTGGCTGTTGGCAATCTATGATCAGTAGCTAACAAAGGCATACGCAAGTGCACTATATTTCCCAGTGAATGATTTCTATATCACAGTCAAATTCTACAAGGGTTCTGAACTCTAGCGAAGCGAGTATAATAGGGGAAAAAATTTTAATACATCATCACTGGCTATTGAAACGTTGGAAGATGCACCGCTGATGCGTTCCACAACTTTTGAGCAAGTTCATCGGGAATCTTAAAATTCGAAAGAACAATGAAAAGAATAAACCATTAGAAAAAAATTTAGAAAATAAGATGAGAATAAGGTACTATTCCAGTATTACTACTCCAAAAAATTTTGCTGCAATTTCGCCCAGAGATGTCATTCAGCGCTCCGAATAAGATCTCTGGCCGAAATTGCAGCGAAAATTCATATACATTCCTAGCACTCCACAACCTATCGCACCGAAATCAATGAAAATTTGTATACAAGGCTTATTTAAGATCCTGCTCAGGGATATGACATTCATTCTTGACGCCGGCGCCAACGTACGGACTATAATCGTCTGCGCAATGCTAAGGCTGAGCCTGGCGGGAAGGGAATGACTCCTCCTCCCAGGCTCAGTCCTAATAGAGAGGTAAATGCGCTGGTGTGGAAAAATAAACAATACACATGTTTTTTTTTGGCGCTAGCGTCATTTGACGCCAATAGGCACCTATGTGGCGCCACCATCTTTCTCACCAGAATCGAAACGTCATACTTTATCAGGACACCGAATAACAACTATAGGCAGTTTCAGCGAAAAAACGAATATTTCGAGTGGTCGAGTAGCATTAGTGCAATAATGCCGAAATAACAATAGAAACGAGCTT